GGGTTTAGGTTTAGATTTAGGGTTTAGGGTTTAGGGTATAGGGTTTAGGATTTAGGGTATAGGGTTTAGGGTTTAGGGTATAGGGTATAGTTTTAGGGTTTAGGGTTTAGGGTTCAGGGGTTTAGGGTTCAGGCGTGTAGGGTTTAGGGTTTAGGGGCCTTTTGGGGGTTCCATATTATAACTATAGTAGAATGGGCCCCAAAAGCCTATTCTAATCATAATTACCTATACTATTTTGGGGGGTTCCTTATTATAGCCATAGTAGAATGGGTGGGCCCCAAAACCCTATTCTAATGATGAAGGCCCCTACACATTATCAGGATTTTGGTATTCTTAGGGTTGTAGGGATTCTGAGGGCTTTAGGTGCTTAGGGGGTTTAGGCTTCAGGGTTGAGAAAGGGTTTTGAGGTTTTAGGGTTTTGAGTGTAGGAATTTCGAGGTTTTTTGGGGGTCTAGGATTGAGGGTTTGAGGTTTAGGGTTCAGGGTGTAGGTTGCAGTTTGGGGGTTTAGGCTTGGGCTCCGGCGGGGCCTGATAAGGCTACGGGCCTGTAGGGGTTCTACTATACAAGGTTCTAGGTTTGGGACTATAGGCTGATCGTGTTGTATGGTACATCTAAACCTAAACCCTAAATGCTAAACCCTAAACCCTAAACCCTAAGTCAGCTGTTGGATTTAGGGGGAGGGGGACCAGCGTCTGGACTTTGCCTACTCGTGCAGTTGCTTCGGGAGGTTTGCAAAGTCACATCGGGAATCACTTTGGGGTTTAGGGTTTAGGGTTTAGGGAATCGATATTTACAGGGCCCTAAACCCTAAACCCCTAAACCCTAAACCTTGGTAGTGATCCTTAGATGTTTTCAGAGGTTATTAGCCATGTTGCGTTTGGGGACGCCGCACAGGCAGACTACGGCTGCCGGAGATGTGTTTTGATGGCACGGCGTTTGGGGTTTAGGGTTTTAGGTTTTGGGTTTAGGGTTTAGGGTTTGGGGTGGCGTCCTGCCCACCCTAAACCCTGAACGCTAAGGCGGTTCAGCTGGCCAGATTGGAGGGTTGAAGACGGCAGATTGGCTGAAGTTGTGTTTGGGGTGTTGGGCCCAGGGGGGGGTGGGTCAGGTTTCAGGGTTCAGGGTATCGAAGCGGGCGAAGTTTGCCAAGGGTTTAGGGTTCAGGGTTTAGGGTTTACGGGCACCGGGCAGCATGCGGAACGCCACGCCGTTTATTTGGGAGCCTGCAAGGATAGTCCCCCAGCGGCAGACGGGCCAGCCGCAGTGTCTCGCCGCACGCGCCGCGCCCCGCGATTGTTCCCTGGAGGATTTCAGGAGAATCCTATGAGTATATGCCACCAAGAAGAGGACAAGCTGCAAGCAGAGGAAGAGCAGCAGTCGAAGGAACGATTGGACTACGCTGGGCCCAGCTTGGCCTTTGAATGTTCCTTCGAGGACGGCTGGCTTTTCCCTCGAAGAGGCATCTGGGTTTAGTTTAGGGTGTGACCACTGCAGGAATGTTGGGCAGCGGCACTACACTGTCTCTTGCCCTTCTTACTTCCGCATAGTGCTAAGACATTCTGCGAATGGGGAAGTCGCACACGCAGACTACTGCTGTATTGACAATGGTGGGAGGGGAGAAGCGAGGGTTTGCCATGGTTCTATCGTAGCTAGATCTAATTACTTACATTTCTCTAAGAGTTTAGGTTTGTGTTTTCGCTACAGGTTGCCGTAAAGGATATCAGGTAGTTTAATACCAGAGCTCTGAATTAGCCGTATATGGCACCCAGTTGGTATCTATAGAAGGTAGATGGAGCTTCATCCCTAAACCCTCAACCCCTTAATTTCTGTAAAAAAGCCCCTAAAAGAATCCTTTTACAGGAACCCTAAACCCCTAAA